TTTTTTCAGGTTTCTTTGATGAATAGAAAGTCCAGAAGAACCGCATTTAGGCTATCTGAAATAGAAATCTTTTGTAACATTATAAATGTCTTTATCATCACTTTTGATCAATTTAAAGCATCCTTGCTAAATAAAAGTGTTCATTTCTATAATTTATTTTCAAAAAAAATTGATACTGACTCTAAGCTTTTGAATGGTCTAGTGTATAATGTTACACAAGCTTTTTATTTGACATAAATGCTGATCTTTGGATCCTTCTATTCATCAAAGAATCCCGAAAAAAATGTACTCAACTGTTTCTTGAAAGATCAAAGACCATTTTTAATATGACTCCGACTGGATTCGTCTGAAAGAAGAAAGTCATATACACCTAGGATGACTTGAGGGTGAGTAATTTATGGGCTAATTTTCATTTTTGGGTGAACTAACCCTTTAAATAGTTAACTTTTTTTATTTATTTGAATATTTCTTATCAATATTATTTGGTTTTGATGAAATAACTAGTTCAGTCATGTAACTCTAAATGGTGCAGTTCTTCTGAAATCCTCCACCTCCCCCAGCTCCACCTGTCTAGATCTGCTACCAGATTTATGTATGTCTATTCATGCAGCAGCAGCATATCTTACATGCACACAGCAGCGTGCTTAAACTATTCTGAGGGTTGTCATGATTATAGACAGATATAGATAGATAGATAACAATAAAAATGCTGCCTATGTAGGCAGCTCACTAGGTTTTGGAACAGAACCATGATGTCTTAGCATGCTAAATGGCTCTTTCAGTGTGATGAAGCCTGTTTTCGAAAGCTTTTAGCGAACAGATTATGTATGTAAAATAGTACAAATGAGGCAGTTGTATTGCATGCTGTGATGACTTCTCATCTGGTACCACTAAATTGTACTTGTTATGCAGATTTTTTTTCTTCCTAAGCTGCTCTGTATTAACAGCCACAAACTTGACCAAAATGTCTTGTCTCACAGGTATACACCCTGAATCGTGACAGCCAGAATGAAGCTAGTAAGTATGGTGCTATTTCTGTCTTCATTTGAATCACAGAATCATACACACTTATCGTGCTGGTTTCATGAACACTTTTTTTGTTTTGTATTACTGTTTTACCATGGAGGTGTATTGATGTTTTTGTTTTCCTCTCCCAATGAACTTTCTATTTAAGTGGCACAATTAGATGTCCTCGGCTTCAACATTGTCAAGAAATTCATCTATGCCATAGAAACCAGAGGTACGCCTCATGTTGTTTGTTAGAAATCAAGGTCTGATGGTGACCAGCACATGAGTAAGTGTGACAGTCTGTGGTTTTCTCTATCAGGTATTGATGAACAGGGGCTATACAGGATCGTCGGTGTCAGCTCCAGAGTGCAGAAACTACTCAGCCTGGCCATGGGTGAGAATCAGCACCCTGCTGCTGGTTATTTTGTTTTAATGAAACCAGGAGATTAAAATGAAATGAATTTCAGCCATAAATGTCACATATACAATTTCTCAGCCTTAAAACTGTTTTGAGTCAGCACAGACACTGTGTTAGAGTCATAATTAGGCTCAGAATATGTACACATTTTTTTCTTCTTCTTCACATTTTCTCTGATTCTAAAGAAATATTGTAATACATTGTACCTGTACTATGTACTTGTTGGATACTGAATGCTTTAAGCCAAAACCACAGTCCTAGAATTCACACTCATACACTTTCGCTAATTACAATCACTTTAAATTAAATGGAAGGTGGGTCAATGGCATATGACACTACTTTCTTTTCTGTCCCGATCTAATAATTTATTATTTAAAAAAAAAATTAAAATGCAGTCATACATTGGTTTGAATACACCTCTTCTATGATGAGCACTTTTTCAACTTAAGAATTAAAATTCAATATGTTTTTTGAGGGGCAAAAAAAGTCATAAAGCATGCACTTTGTAATAATATCACATTAAAAGTTTTTTTTTCTTTAAAGTTTATTTTATATAATTACGTTTTAGTAATATTTTGTCACGATTTAATGTACATTTATTTTGATGCATTGACTAACATTCTAAAGCATACGTAAAATACTTCTTAATTGGTTATAACTTCAATATTACATTTAAAGTAAATATATTTTAAATCTGCTAAATTCATCATGTACTAAATTGTACATAAATGTCATCATTAGAAATGGTAAATAAAATATATATTTAAAAAATGACGTACAAGTTTGAGTAGAAATGACATTCTCTACTCAAGTATATCAAAAAATTCAACTAACTGCATTTAATATAAATTTAAACTATAGCACATTTTCATTTAATTGCAAGTAACATGCAATTAAGTGTCCGAAAACATTACATTTTTGCATTTAAGTATATTCTTTTTAAGTATATTATTTCCATAATAAGAAAGGTATGCTAAAATATGTTATTACTTTATGCATGATGGTTACACCACGTCATTTAATTAAAGCAATTTTCATTTAATTTTAGCCATTAAATTGAAACTTTATTTGAAAATAATATAAAGGTTCTTCAAAACCATATGAAACCAGCATTTAAAGAAAGATAGAGTACATTTCTAAGAAAATGTCACATTTGTATTATTTTAAACTAGGTTTTTAATAGGTTTTCCTTTTCTTTATCATGGATATTCTTATTTGTCGTTGACCCTGGTAACTAATTTTGTTACAGTGCTCACTTGCAGGTTTTTTTAGACAGCTTTGTTAATTGTAATGTGAGCGCTCTAGTTGTCACATTGTCACATTCATTATCAGCGACAGCTTTGTTGATTTATAATGGAATGTATCTAGGTTTGTCGCATTACTCCCATGCAGTGTAGATAGATATATTGATTATTATGTGAGTGACCTAGTTTTTTCATGATGCATTTCTCTCGTACGGACAGATATGTTGATTAGCAATGGTTCTTTTTTGGTGGTATTGAATCGTTTGCATGGTAGACACATTGTTAGATTTCTTTTTCAATTCATTTAGTTAAATAAAATGAAAACTAGGTTAAAAGAATATTAATCTGTCAGTGTTGAATGCAATGAACTTTTTTTGTCACTATGCCAAAATGTATGCGTGTGCCTCTCCCATATTACAATATTTTTACTGTACTTTCAAAGCACATCTGCCTCGATTAAGTATTATATTTGTGTATAAAGCTTCACTTAGCAAGGAACCATTATTATCAGCTGCCTAAGTATAAACGCAACCCTCTTCACATGCAAAAAGTGACAGCAATGCCGTCACACCCTGCGGTGAAAGGCAAGGCAAGGCAATTTATTTCTAAAGCACGATTAAAAACAACAAGTTGACCAATGTGCTGTACAGATTCTAAAAAACATAGATAAGCAGACAATATATACAGTGGGTACGGAAAGTATTCAGACCCCCTTAAATTTTTCACTCTTTGTTATATTGCAGCCATTTGCTAAAATCATTTAAGTTAATTTTTTTTCCTCATTAATGTACACACAGCACCCCATATTGACAGAAAAACACAGAATTGTTGACATCTTTGCAGATTTATTAAAAAAGAAAAACTGAAAAATGCTCAGAGGGGGTCTGAATACTTTCCGTACCCTCTGTACACATCACTTACACTGCACAGAGCATACATTCAACATAAAACAACATTCAACATTCCAACAACATGTCATTGAGCAGCATTTTGCACAAAAGCCTGGGAGAATAAATGAGTCTTTAAAAGGGACTTAAATGACACCAAAGTGGAGGCAGTTCTTATGTGTAAAGGCAAACGGTTCCAAAGCCTTGGGGCCGATACTGCAAAAGCACGGTCCCCCACAGTTTGCGTCTCGACCTAGGAACAATCAAGAGATTTTGGTCAGAGGACCTAAGAGATCTTGATGAAGAGTACGGTTGCAACAAATCTGAAATATAAGATGGTGCAAGGCCATTTAATGATTTAAAAACAAACAGCAAGATTTTAAAATCAATTATATAACGGACCGGCAACCAATGTAAAGATGACAAAATGGGAGTGATCTCGTGACAGGGTGAACTGACTAATCCCTACACACAGGGAATTACAGTAGTCCAGACGAGAAGACACAAAAGCATGCATCCCTCTTTCAAAATCACAAAAGGATAAAAACCGCTTAATCTTTGCCAGTGTTCTTCAGGATGAATGGCAGGATAGACTTTGATGTTGTTGTGTTACTCACCAGATCACTGGTATTTATCTGCCTGTCTCAGAGTGATAATGATATACTATGACTATACTACTGCTTTAGGAAATGTTTTGCAATTTTGATGCTAATTAACTGTTGCCAGCATACATACTGTGGGTATAGAAAATAATCACCCCCTTTAAAATAATCACATTTTGCTGCTTTGCAGCCTGAAATGAAGATGGACACAGTTTTTGTTTTATCCAGCTATATTTACTCAGTGCAACTTATAACATTCAAGTGATGGATATAACACCAACATGTCAGAAAAAAAAAATACAAAAACAGAATCACTGAGTTGGAAAAAGGATCACTTTCCTGGAGCATTTCAGTCTTTGGTAGTGCAACTGAAGCAAACAATCAACTATGGGTGGCAAGGCACTGTCAAAAGATCTCCAGGATAAAGTTGTGGCACAAGGAGATACAAAAAAAAAAAAAATCAAAGGCTTTATCAATGCCTAGAAGCACAGTGAAGTCTATTATTAAGAAGTGGAAGGTATTTGGTACAACACAGACCCTCCCTGGATCAGGACATCGCTCCAAACTGCTTGAAAGAGCCAAGAAGAAACTGGTCAGAGAGGTAACCAAGAGCTGAAGCAGCTGCAGGAATTTATGAAAAAGAGTGGTCATTGTGTGCATGTGACAACAATATCACAAATTCTCCACAAATGTATCTTGTAGGGGAGGGTTGCAAGAAAAAAAGCCACTCCTCAAGAAAGGCCACATGCAGTCACGACTGAGCTTCGCCAAAACACACCTTGAAGATTCTGAGGCAGATGAGACTAAAATTGTATTATTTGGCCTCAACACCAAACGATATGTCTGGTGGAAATCCAATCCAGCTCACCATCCAGATAACAGCATTCCTCCAGTAAAGCATGGAGTAAAGCTTCGATAATATCCTGTTATGGGGTGTTTCTCTGCAGCAGGAACTGGAGCACTGTCAGGATAAAAGGAAAAATGGATGGAGTAAAATACAGTCAAATTCTTGAGGAAAATCTGCTGCCCTCTGCCAGAAAGTTGTCAATGGGAAGAAGGTTTACCTTCCAACATGACAATGACCCAAAGCACACAGCAAAACTGAGCACACGGTGATTGAAGGAGAAAAAGGTGCATGTCCTTGCATGGCCTAGTCAGAGCCCAGACTTAAACCCCATTGGAAATCAGTGGAATGACTTGAAGACTGCAGTCCACAAACGCTCACCATCGAATTGAACTGAACTTGAGCAGTTATTGCAAATATTGGCAAATATTGCAAAGTCTAGATGTGCAAAGTTAGTTGAGACATATCCCAACAGAATAAAGACTGTAATTAAAGCAAAAGGTGGTTCAACAAAATACAGAGACAAGGAGGTGATCCTTTTTTCAACTCAGTGATCCTGTGTTTTTTTTTTGTTGTTTTTTTTGTTTCTGATATGTTGGTGTTATATCTTTCACTTGGATGTTATAAGTTGCACTGAGTAAATACAGCTGGATAAAACCAAAATTGTGTCCGTCTTCATTTCATACTGCAAAGCATTAAAATGTGATTGTTTTAAAGGGGGGCTTTTCTATACCCAATGTATGCATTGTTTACTTGCACATACTGGCAGTGTGCTGTGTTGGTAATTCCAAAGGTTGAACAGAGGTCACTGGTAAATTAAATCTGTCTAACCATGGGGTCTATAATCCTCCTCTAGACCCCAAAACCTGTGCAGATGTGGAGCTGAACAGCACAGAATGGGAGATCAAGACCATCACCAGTGCAATAAAGCACTACCTCAGGTACCAACCCACCCCTTCACATATGACCACATGACAACAACCAGGCTATACTACACAAAATGTGTTTTACCTGTCTTGATTTGACTGGCTCCCGCAGTCTCAAAAGTTACCTTGACCGCTAAGGTATCAGCTCAGGGCTATTAACCTAAGTATACATAGAAACCATGTAAAACATCTTGGCAACTACTGTAACAATAATAAACTCAGAATACTTGCATAGTGAACAGTTGGGTCCCTTCGCACAAATGAGTCAACAAGCTAGCAGTGTGCTAAGCTAGTAGGCCTATTCTGAGTATTTAAAGAATGAGAAATATTTAATGCCATAATCTTTAACTTTATTTATAGCGCTGTTGAATGCTTGAATCTGATTGGCTGACAAACATATTAAAAGGTGTGCAATTATTTTAAGCGAAACACGGCTAAAGTAGTTCCAGGCAGGTCTTGACCGCATTGCATGTCCAGATCACTTCACCAAATAATTTCAGTTATTTCAAAGGTCCTTACAGCCTACAACAGCCAAAGAACCAAAACCCACAACAACACTGACCAAGCAAATAAATATAGTAAACAACAGGATAAAAACGCCAAATTATTTTCATGTTTTTGCCACAAAACTACGTTTTATTATGTAGGGAAAACATACTCTGTTTCTACTTTGTTCTCTCCCTTACAAAAGCGCACACATACAGTACAAACACACACTCACACACACGGAAACATGCACACGCACAGAAACATGTTGTCGGCGCTGCTCTGATGATTTTATCATTAAAATAGTTTAGCAACTTAAAAGTTCTTGAAGATAATGAACTTGCAGTTTCGCTATTAGTAGAAATGCAGCTGCCGAACACTGTTTAGAGACACACAGGCAATTCACACACGCTTAATCTCTCTCTCTCTCTCTCTCTCTCTCTCTCTCTCTCACTCTCTTTCTAATAACTTCATTATTAACTGAAATAGTCTGCTATCAGAATTAGCTTTATTCGCCAAGTGTGTGCAAACACACAAGGAATTTGTTGTGTTTTTTTTAGGAGCTCTTGGTACATACATACATATATGACATGAGAACAGAAAGAACAATTAAATAAGTAAGACTAAAGAAAAAAAACTATAAATAAATAATAATAATAGTAATAATAATGTGGTAAAATCTGGAACAGAAGATTTATGTACAGATTTGTGTATTATTTACTGTACAGTTTTATAAATAAAAATATGCATATGTATTTACATAATACTTGAATATCAATGGAACAAGACTCCGTTACTAGGTCTAAAATTAAGTTTTGGAATTAGCAACGGAGGTGTTGGATGAGATGCGTAAGAAATTAATCCTACACACGAATGTTTTAAGGACAAAAGCCTGATGAATGTCTTTTAATACAACATCTGAAAAATATTTAAGATCTGGTAACCATAGTATAAGCGGAATGCAGCGGCAAAAATTCCCCTTCTAAGGAACTTGTGCTGCGTCCTCTAGCAGACACTTTGGGGAATGCTGCCAGCATGACCGGTGTCTGAAGCATGTGTAAAAAAACGGCAGTCCTATTGGTCCACGTGGCCCGTGACGTCATTGGCAGGTGCCCGGAAGTATAAAAGGGCACCTGCTGAATACATCACCAACTTTTGTTGTCTTCAGGAGCTGTATGTTTGCAAACAGTGTGTACTACTGTATGTCTGTGAAGCCGGGCGAGCGTTTGAAGAAGTGCGTGTCTCTGTGTCAGAGGTTTTTGACAACCGAGGACACGCACGACTTGAGCGTTATGTGTCTAGGTGAGGAGCATGCTCCAATCACGTTTGTCTCTCTTCTCGAGGGAGGAGAGGCAAGCATCTGCGGCACGCAGGTCAGGTCCCCCTTATTGCCGAGGCACTGCGGAAGCTGGGGATCGCAGGTCAAGCTCAGTCATCCTCTTTGAAGTTTCCTGCCTTGCCACCCGTAGTGCTTCAGACCACCTCGCGCTTGAATGGCAGGGCGTATGTGGCAGCGGGTCAGGCTGGTGGAGCATTGCACACCATGGCAGTGTTATAAGCCTATCAGGCTGACTTGCTGAAGGATTTGGATTAGGGCAGAGGTTTGTCTCCTGAGGCAGTTGAGGAGCTGCGCCGCGCCACCAAGCAAACTGCTGCTGCCATTGGTCTCTCAATGGTGGCTATGATGACTACGGAGAGGCATCTGTGGATCATCTGTGGATCATCTGTGGGTCATCGGGAAGAAAGAAAAGGACTTTCTTCTCGATACTCCGCTTTCGCCTACTGGACTTTTTGGCACTTTCATCGAGGCGTTTGTGGATAAGTTCAGAGAGGCAAAAGCGCAATCAGCTGCTTTCAGGAAGTTCATTTCTCAGAGCTCCAAATCCTCCTCTAGGGGGGTGATTTGTCTAGAGCTCAGGCTCATAGACAAGATCAAAAGTCTAGCGTCGCTAACCGTGCACCTCTTTCAAGGAGTTGGCGGTGGAAAGCTAACGCTAACAAAGGGAATAAGGATCTCAGGGACATCCTAGATAAGAGACGTGGTGATCGCCTGCGTCCTGAGGCTGGGACTCCTTGATCATTCTCTTCCCTTCCTCCGCTTTCCCCCATCTAGTGTTATGGCCACTGCTTACATCAGGCTCTGACTCTGGACTAATGATGTCTTGTGTGTTCGCTCTGAGCGAATCATTTACTGATGGTCCGGATCTCCCTCATATGAGCTTATGGTCAATAACACAGTGACTTTGCTAGCCTACTGTGGGACTGACTCTGATTGGGTGCCTCCTTAGTTTAGCCATCTGAGGATGGTTATATTCAATGGCAGGACGGGCTTACTTGAATACAGCTATCTGAGGCTAGCTGTGTTCTTACTTGCAGTTGCGGTGAGCCCTTTCCTGGAAATGTAGCTATCTGAGGTCTGGGTAGTTTCAGTCGGTCCCCCTTCTGGTAGCTCCTTCCTAGGTACATAGCTATCTAAGGATAGCTATGTGCTAGCTCAGTGATTGCTCCCCTGCTCAGGGTATTTAAGTAGAGGTCTCCTTGAGCCCTCGCCTAGACAGTGCTATCTCCCCCGCTAGGGTTGTAAGCAGATAGCCCACTCTCTGTGGTCTGGGCAGCTTTGCCAGAGTTCTCTCGAAGGGAAACGTCTCGGATTATGCATGTAACCATGGTTCCCCATGATTCTTTGGCCTGTCTGTTTATGTCTCCTTCAGACAACTAAGTTGGTGACGTATTCAGCAGGTGCCCTTTTATACTTCCGGGCACCTGCCTATGACTTCAAGGGCCACGTGGACCAATAGGATTGGCGTTATTTGACATGTGCTTCAGAAACCGGTCATGCTGCCAGCATTCCCCAAAGTGTCCTCTAGAGGACACAGCATCTCGTTCCGTCTCGGGGAACCATGGTTTACATGCATAACCCGAGACGTTTCTCCTCTGCGCTCCAATTCAATTATCACTCCGCTCCGGGTTCACCATTTCCCGCTCCTCACTCCACTGTTTAGAAGCACTGCTCCGCCTTCGCTCCATGACGAAATTTGTGGCTAAAGTATTTCAGTAGCCTGTTTTGCAATATCACAAAGTTCTGTTCAGAACTTATATTAAACGAAAAAACAAATACATAATACTAGAAGAATAGTTTTAACGTGGTTTATTGGAACACTATAGTTAGCCAACATCTATATTAAATGACTGTTTAACTCACTTGTCTGTGCAGTGTCTCTCCACTATGGCAAAGCTGAGGGTTGTAGTTACTTCAGAAACAGAAAGAATATGCTATAATTTTTCTTGTTTTAAGCTGATAAATCACAGATTTACTACCTGTACAATAAACTGTTTAAAACGTGAATTCACACAATCAATATTGAATATCCACATGCTACAAACAAACAGATTACCACCACGACGCTCTGACTTCAAAAAAATCTACTCTGCTCCAGTCAAAAATCACGCCGCTCCACTCCTAGCTCCGATCACATAATCTGTTCTGGTCCGCTTCGCGTCATGGTGATGCACTATTTTCTAATAATTCAACGGCCCGTCGTCAATTATTCCTTACTTACCAGTATAAGTAGTCGTATTTACAAAATTAAGACTTCACATATTGAGTGTGTCAAGTCGGGTTCCTTACCCACTTACAGTAAGTGGGACTTAAGTCTTTAAATGTAATTTCATAATTACTTCTGTTGTGTTTGAAATATGCTTAAAGTGTACTGCTAAATGTACTGACAAGCATTTATGGTGAACTAAAATATGCTATAATTTCTGTTGAAACTTGCATGTCATGTATTTAAAGTATATTTAAAGTAGATTTAATATATTAGATTATTAACTGTAATATCTAGTAACATTACAGTTAGATGTATAATTAAATGTTACATATGATTTAGTATGTTAGTCAACATCAAAATTGAGTATTCTTTATTAAAGCAAAAGATTATTGAAACATAATGCTTTAAAATGTTTTTTATAGTAAAATATTTTATAATTTTACAAAGTGCACTTTTAAAAATGTACTTAAGTGTGTTAAGAAACATAGTTTTACAAGTTTTACATGAGCAATTACTAGGGATGCAACAATGCACCCCGAATCATACCCCGAGCTGGTTGAAAATCGATAAAAATATGTGACGATTCAAGTCGTTTGAGATGTTAAACTAATCGCCGTACATTTGGGGGTGGGAGTTTATATCAATGTATCTCTGATGGGAACTGACTTGTCTTCAGAAAAGTTTAGATGGTATTTTCTTTTCTAGACTGGTGTTTATAAGCGCAGTACTGCTTTGTTTACAGCGGTAACCAAGGAAACACTGTATTGCTGCTGTTCCATGAGTGCCACCTGCTGTCAGAGAGTGAATTTGCATCTCATTCAGCCCGTCTGCTGTTTTTGTTTCATTCAGATATGTTTTATGTAGTATAGTTTAACAAAGGTGAAGTCAGAGCATTCTGTTTTTGCTTAAATTTCAAAATTATACAATCTAATTTAAACCAAGAACTGCTCATGCTGCATGTATGCAGCATCTTTGTTTGGATCGTGAATAAAATGTAGTGGTTGCCTCTAATTTGAAATAAAAATAGCACACCTTAGATTGTTTATATGAAGAGATTTCTTTTATTTGCATTTATTTATTTGAGTTGGGATTTGTTTTAAAATTTCAATTTAGTGTTGTTATTTGACATTTCAATTTCACAGAGAAATGTGCAGCATTTGTCTGAAAAATAATAAAAGGACACCTTTTCATTTATAATTTGACTTAAATCTCATTTTGTAAAAAAAAAAAAAAAAATCATAAGATAATTGTATTGTGAAATCAGTATTGTGAATCGTTCCATCCCTAGCAATTACCACTCATATTATTTTCAAAAAATATACAAATATAGTAATTAATGTTATAAACATGATATATTCCAATTACCACTTACATTTTTGTCAGAAAATATAAAAATACAGTCTGACAGACAGTCTGATTATTCATGTAATTCCACAACATTGCTAATAATCTACAAATTAGCTTGCAGGCTAAAAATAAAACCTCTCAGAAGTTAGTAAATATGCATAAGCATTTTACAACGATAGAGGAAGACATATCATCATCATGCATCCAAACATTCTCAGTTTAATTTGTCTCGACGCCATTCCTTCTGTTTTTGAGTCTATTTGGTCTGTTATATAATCGCTAATATTTTCTCTTCTCCTCTTCTATCAGGATGCTGCCGGCCCCTCTCATGACATACCAGTACCAGAGGAGCTTCATCAAAGCAGCCAGTGAGTTTCTCTCTATCTGTCTGGTTGGTCTGGCCGTATTTCCCCTGATCTATTTTGACTATTTAAAACTATTTGACTATAGTTCGACCATTTGATAAAACACACTACAGAGTAGGAGTGCTCAAGCTAGTATGATCAGAAACAGGAAACCGGGGTGTAGAGGAAAGAAAATGGATTTACAGTGTGGCAGCTTTTGTCTGAGACACCGAGGGATGTTGTCCCTCTTCCAGATCGTCTTTTGCATCTCATTTGTAACATAAACTTTGATTTTCACACTGCAAAAATTTTTATTAGAATTAGAAATTTGACAATTGAGTTTTAAGCACAAACTTAATTACATTTTATTAGATTTTTACTTAAAACAACTGTTTGCTAAAATTGTTAAATATATTTCATAAATTATTAAAACTAATTCATAAATTATTTTTCATAAATTATTTCACATTTTTTAACTAATGAAGAAACAATAATTACAGATATATTAAATACAAAAATATACATTGTCTGAAAACAATATTTAATGCAATTTTGCTGCTCAAGTAAATATATCTTGCATAAGGATGTTTGGATATTTTTGTACGTGAAAACAAGACTGATTATTAAGATGCTTTTTTTTTTTTGCATTGTATCTCATGCTATCTTCATCTTATCTCGTTTTGCTTTCTACCATCGTTCCCTTTTTTGTCTCTGTTTTTCTGTCTGTCTTTCTTTTCTTTTTTTTTTGCCAGTCCTTAAGGGTGATGTTAGGCCCTTGTCCTCATATGAACTTTTTTTTTATTCTTTCGGAGCGCTCCACCCCCCACTTTCTGCCTTTCATTTTCTCTCTTTTTTTCCACTCCTCCCCTCGTTCATTCCTGTCTATGTGAGCCATTTATGTGATAAAGAGCAAGGTGCCATCTGGAGTTTGCCCATCAGCAGAGCGAGAGAGAGAGATGGGGATATGGGAATAAGGGAGTGAGAGACGATGTGAATGTGTATGTAACTGGAGAAGAGAAAATCAAGAGAGACAAGAACGTGTGAAAATGTGTGTGCATGGTCTACAGGTTCGGTTTCTGTTCAACACGATCAAATACACGACTGGTCTGGTTATGTCTTGCAGGGGTTTTTGAATGGCTTGGATTAGCAGCAGATCATTTCTTCATCTATATTTTGTGTTTAAGATAGTAAGACTTGTTTTCAGACAATATATATATTCTTGTGTTGAAGTTTGTTCTTAAATACATTTATTTATTTAAAAAATTTTTTTTAGAATATATTAAATATTTATTATGCATTATATATTTATATATATATATATATATATATATATTAATACATTTATAATTAAATTTTATACTATGCTATAAATAAAAGGCTGTGGCGCTCATCCAGGTGTTGTGTGTTCGAATTGTAGAATTTTACTTGAGAAGCAAAATGACTGTCTTGTTCTCTGAAAAATGTATTAATTTTTTACATTTTTGCTTAAAACAAGAAAAAAAGATATCTGCCAATGGGGTAAGAAAAATAATCTTACCTCAAGGACAAATCAAGATGATTTTTCTTACCCCATTGGCAGATATTTTTTCTTGTATTAAGCAAAAACTAACAAAATTCTGATAATTTTTCAGAAAACAAAAACATACTAAGTAAGAAAATCATTTTTTTGCAGTGCAATTAATTAATGAATTACTTTTGATTGTATTTATTTATTTATTTATTTTGTCCCTTATCATGTCTAAAACAACCTCTTTTATATCTCTCTTCTCTCGCTGTACTCTTGTTACTGGGGATTATTAGGATATCATGGCAGCCAGAGAGATCACTCTAATATTTCAGTGACCTTTAAGAGCCGGTGTCTGGCGGATTAGCTTTGCTCTTAATGGACACTGCTGTAGCGGTCACATACACTAGGTGGCACTGTGCTTTTACAACAAGGCAGACACAAACACATGAGCATTAATGTCATTTTAATTGGAATAATGTGTCTGTGTGGGTCCAGACTGTGTCAGGAAGTGACCTCACAGAATCAGGAACGGGATCTTTTGTTCTGTTTCACAACATCAGCAACAGATGCAATGTTTCAGACCTGAAACGTGTCAGTGAATGTTGAAATGTACGTAAAAACGTACACGGCCGAAGCCAGTGAGACTGGACTCCCATTCCTGCTGCGAATGAGTCAAATACAGCAGTAAAACGCCTACAGTTCATGCGGAACAAAAGGAAATGTGCTTGTTTTCCTTTGCAGCCACTTACTCTCTCGCTTCCTCTTTCCCTGTCTTCCTAGAACTGGACAATCCCGAGGCGAGGGTGGCAGAGATCCACTCCATAGTGCACCGTCTCCCGGAGAAGAACCGCCAGATGCTGGAGCTTCTCATGAAACACTTGGCTAAGTAAGTTTAGGTGTTGACGCCCCCTTTTTACTGTGTTACAAATCCAGCAAAGACCTAAGAGGATTTCCATTGTAAAAACCACAACCATTCTGATGGTAATAAAGGCCTTAACTTCCCTTCATGTTTGCCCAGCTGAAAAGAGTGGCTTGTTTTCCTTCACCTGTCCTTTCCTCCATCTCTTTCCCCAGCTCCATTTTCTTTTGTGCGAGTTTAATTTGACACCCTGACTGCCGAGCTCTGCAGAGCCGCTCCTCTGTGACGCTGGCAGCTCAAGGAGTATTTTGGAAGTTTACGGAGAAAGTCCACTCACAAGTGAAAATGCTTTACACAAAGCAGCTTTCTGCAAAAGATCAGGGGCCTCATTTATAAAATGTCGCGTAAAAAACCATCCTAAATTTGTTCTAAGATCATTTCTCAAACGTGCGTAAGTGCGATTCAGAGAAAACGAACGTGCGCACAAAAACACGTGCGTACGCCTCTCTTCCAGATGTGACATTTATAAAATCGCAAATGATCTTGAAATTGTGCGTAGCTGACTGGTGTGAGATCTCCACCTTGTAAACGCCCCCTAATTAATATCATTACCATATAAAAGATAATCACCGTCATTGTGCTCACCTGTCTGCCTCTAATTATTCACCCCATATTAGTTCCTGTCTGTCTGAGCATTGGTGTCGGTTATTGTAAATGTTACCCCGAGTGTGTGTTTCTCACCTACCTGTACCTGCCTTTGTTGTGTCTACATTAAAAGTCTTTATTGGAATCCTTGTCGTCCTCGTCGTCCTGCCTGCCTCCACACATCCGGACCGTGACAATCACAGAATTGGTTGCTGATATTTATATGCCCATAAAGTAAGATGAAATTCAGATAGCTTGTAATGTAATCAATGAGATCTTTATAACAGTATAGAAGACTACTTACATCAAATGCATATAAATATCAGTTGCCTCTCTCTCTATATCTCCTAATAATATGTCCTAGTAAGATTATATTTAGATGCTTAGTTTTATGATCAAAGCTCTGTAGTTTTATTGTGGGGGGCAAAACATACAATGCAATACAATACAATGATTGAGAAATGAACAAATAAACGTTCCTCAAAAGCCTGATGTATCATTTTCAAAACTCGCATTTTAACAATGAAATATAACCAAGAAGAACCATATATATATATATATATATATACAGTGGTGTGAAAAAGTTTTTGCCCCTTCCTGTTTTTTTAATTGTTTGCATATTTGTCACACTTAAAAGATTCAGATCATCAAACAAATTTTTATTTTGTTAATAACGATTTTTTATTACCGTTAATAAAAAATCTGACTACACTGCACAATTAATCTCTCACACTGCATCTTCGTTGTTTATGATGAATTCGGTGCTTGCACGTACACCGCTTTTATTATTATTGCAGCTTAGATGTTCAAATAGTTGCACTACTCTGACTTTGCCACAAGGAAAAGTTCGTAAGCCTGCTCAGACCCTGACGTGGCGGTAAGTACTTTTCCAGGTCAAAGACCGTTTTTATAAATATGAACGTTGCCGTGGATTTTAGCGTACGCACACTCTAAGATCAAATCTGTGCGTACGCACATTTTATAAATGAGGCCCCAGATTCATAATCCGAAAGAATTATAGGAAGTAGAAGTTTAATACCCACTTTGCTTGCCCTCAGGACAAGTTTGGAAATGATGTTGTAGTGTGGAATTAATAGTTTCATCGGACAGTAGCAGTGAAAAACAACAGCAGCTGCATAAGGTTAATTGGGACTCATTTAATATTGACGGTATGCTGATTAGAAGAAATAATTTCTGTAAAGGTTTTACCTTGGGTTCTGTTGACACTGAATCATCATTTACAACAATTGTGTAAAAGTCATTAAATATCTGACCAGATGGCTGAAAGTTTGCAAGTTCAAAACCCTAAAAAAGTAATACCATTAAAGTCCACATGAAATGAACAAAATGGTATTTCCTGTGTTGACATATTTCCTAATGAGACAGGAAGTTGAAGTGGGGCATATCAAATGCTTTGTCCTTTTTTTATTAGACAGTAGCTTTAGTTTAAAACCTGTTGTTCACTGTACAGTCTTGCTTGCTATTTATTTATTTATTGAGTATCATTTGATGTATCAGGCTTTTATGGCTCATGATATCACTGTAACGCCCCTGTGGACTGTTTGTTGTGGTTTCTTCCCTTTGTGTTGGTTTAGCCCGTCTAATCATTAGTTAATCACCGTCATTGTTACTAAAAGGCCTGAAAGTATAAACATTCAGTCAGACAGAAGACATGTAGTAGTTGTAGTAGTACAGCAGGTTTTTCAGCAAAGTTTTGATCATGTTGGTAATTTAGAGGCCTTAGATATTTGTGTATCAAGTACGATACAGTAGGCTTTATAGGGTTAAGTGGCATTTTGGGTAAAAGCCAAGATAAACTGTGTGTCATCAATGGTCTTCTATGTCAGTGTGTGTGTGTGTGTGTGTGTGTATGTGCGTGTTTTTGTGACATATGAGGACACAAATTTGTATAATGACATGGGTATGACATAGATATTACAAGGAGAAGGTGACTTATGAGGACATTACCCCATGTCCCCATTTTTCAAAATGCTTATAAATCATACAGAGTGAGTTTTTTTGAGAAAGTAAAAATGCACAAAGTTTCCTGTAAGGGGTAGGTTTAGGGGTAGGGTTGGTGTAGGGCAATAGCACATACAGTTTGTACAGTAAAACCATTAGGCCTATGGAATGTCCCCACAATTCACAAAAACAAACCTGTGTGTGTTTTAGGATTTCAATTATGGTAAATTTCCTAAATTAGATTTTTAAGAATGCATAATATTTGACAGCAAATTGATCAAAGAACATTTCCATTATTTGTATTGCTTTTATTGATTAGTTATTGTAGCTCTATTTTTTGTTATCAATAAAGCTAACTACTCAGAAAAGCACTACAATACAATAAGAAATAAATGACTTCAGATATCTTACTCTCTCACCAGAGTGGCCAGTCACCACCTGCAGAATTTGATGACGGTCGCTAACCTCGGCGTAGTGTTCGGCCCTACGCTCTTGAGGCCTCAGGAAGAGACTGTCGCTGCAATCATGGACATCAAGTTCCAGAACATTGTGGTAGAAATCCTAATCGAGAACCACGAACGGGTATGTTTATAAATGGAAACCAGCCACTCATCACCATATTATACCAGGAAAATTGGTTAAGCGTTAAGAAAAAGAGCTTTATTTCTGAACATTTGGTGATGATGTGCACAGCTAATGAGTGAAATGGCTCGTTAGGTTATTTCATTTCTATTGGTCACTTCTTTTCTGACCGTAATCACCATAAAGGTGCATGAGCTGTGTTGCTGACACCTAGGTGTGAATGAAGGATGTAATTCCCTTTCTAAGGGACTCGCTCAGTCCACATTTGCTGTAATGGGTAACTTCAAATCCAGCAGGGGTTTAAAGGGTAAAGCAGCTTAGAGTAGTTGCCATGGCAACATGCAAATCGGCTCAAGGCTGATTTCTTAAGCTGAGCCCAGTGTCACATGACATATGGCCACTTCCTCCTGCATGAATGGGTAAAGTGGGTGGGTTTTACAATCAAGGCTGTCATTATGTCTTGTACAATTAACTTTCCCATGTCTCATTGCCATAAAGACATAGCACACTCATATGCTAACCTGTAATGAATCTTTCTGCTTCAGCCTAAAAGCATTGTTGGCTACCTATCCTATATATCTCAACAAATATACACAGTTATGTACAGCAGGACTGTAAGATAAAACTGATCCTCAAAAAGCTTTTCACAAGTCTTGTCACAAGAGAAAGTTTTTTTTTTCTTCAGAATTCTTAAAGTGATAATTCAGGTTTGTGTTTTTTTTTTGTTTTTTTGGCATCTTTTACTCGCCCTCATGTTGTTCCAAACTTGTATGATCCATAAATGAGGTATTATACATACAGTATTCAATAATAAAAACTGCTCTTTTTCCTTGTAAGCTTTTCTGTTTTCTAAATGTAAGTTATTGATATTTTTGCAAATTGAAATATGTAACATGATTCAAGTAACATTTTCTTTAATAACCATCTAGTTAAAGAAAGTTCTATTCCAAGTGCATCACACATGAGTGCTCAACATGGTGTAAATGTAAAACTAATTTACTTGTTAAATATCTTTGCAGAAAAGATGCATGAAATATGATGGCACATATTGTACAAATTTCATTGCGACTTTAAAGTATCATAAACGCAGTCCACTATAGCATGTTAGCATGTTTTCTTAAATATCTGCAAATTAGTGCTGTCAAACGATTAATCGCGATTAATCGCATCCGAAATAAACGTTTTTGTTTACATAATATATGTGTGTGTACTGTGTATATTTATTATGTATATATATATAAATACACACACATACAGCATATATTTTGAAAATATTTACATGAATTTGCATGTATATATTTATATTCATAAAATTTATATTATATATAAATATATTTAATGTATAAACGTAACATATTTTTCTTAAATATATACATGCATGTGTGTGTATTTATATATACTTAGTATATGTGTATGTACTGTGTATATTTATTATGTAAACAAAAACTTTTATTTTGGATGTGATTAATCGCGATTAATCGTTTGACAGCACTACTGCAAACATGATATTTTTATGCTTTAGTACAGTCAAAAAAATTACATACAGCATCTTTAAAGATATTTAAAAGTGTTTTTACAATATTTTAATAGGAGTAAATTCAGTTAATTTACAATACCGTTTTTACAGTGCATATTTATACTTGCTGTGTTGCAGGAAACATGAGAACCAATTAATTTATCATTAATATTTCACATTAAACTGACCGTGATTCGTGCTTGAATATTCAGACGTGCAAATGAGATTTAAGGGGTTTTGATGGAGGAGAGGATATTCCGTGTGATGTGAAATATGTATCTAATTTCAGTCTGTTTGTCACACATAGCTATCGTATGACTTCAGACTTGAAATAGAGTGTATATGAGTCATAGGGACCTTTCTTTTTGGTGTCTTTTGGAGCTTGACAGCCACTGGTAGCAGATTTATAGCTGTCATACAGTATTTTTGTATGGAAAAGAACAGCTTTTTCCATGGAGGAAAAAAGTCAGGTTTGGAATGACATGAAAGTGACCAACTGATGGTCGAATTGTCATTTTATGACTAGACACATCTGCGGGGTCATATCCTCCCAGGATCAGTAGCAACATTTCAGTCTGTTCTATTTTTGTGGAGACACTCATCCCATCATTGTGGCGCTCTGACATTTTCATGTTGATTTGAATTTCCTTTCGGCTCTGCAGATTTTCAAAGACATGCCAGTGTCTGGAGGAGGGCAGGGCAACTCCCAGCTCAACCTGCCCAGGCGGAGGAGTGCAGACAGCAAGGCCCCGTCCTGCAGCGAGAGACCCCTCACTCTTTTCCACACCCCCTCATTTTCAGAGAAAGACAAAGGTACACCAGCAAGTGCTTACTTTGGAACATCTAAAATGATGATAATTCTTTAAGACTAAAAATTATGCTAGAATACCTTTTTTTTTTTTTGTCAAATAACAAAATATTATGTTTCTCATATATATATATATATATATATATAACATTTAATTCGTTTCATTCATTTGATATTTCTTGTATTTATTTTTTAAACCATTAATACGCATTTATTATCATTACTTATGCAAAGTTGAATAAAAAAAAAAATTTCTTTCTAAGGGTACTTTCTTGTGTCTATTCAATGCTTTACTCATTTAACACAATAATGAAAAAAACATCTTTTGATGTGTGATTAATTTGCGATTAGTTAGATAAAGTAATCGGCACATCATGTAATTAATTAAATAAAACTTTTGACAAGCCTAATATATACAGTATATATGTTTAATCGTAAATGTTTTTTTTTATAAACATCTTTTAAACATCATTTTTACAAACAAAATATTTATGAAAATGTAGTTTAATGTGATTCAAAAGGAAATTCTGAAGATGTTTGGTTCCTCTCAGGAGTTTATTTACATTGGATTTACTGTACATATCTAAACTTTGAAGGAGGAAATTCAGTTCCTGGTCTATAAACTGTTGTGCTAAAAATACCAATGCAATTAATTATTAAAATAGTTTCAGGTTTCAAGTTGGCACACCAGACAGACCAGACACCACCCTGTTTGCAATTACTTTTGCAGTAAACATTTTGCTGCCAACCCCCTCTGGGCATGTGACGAGTAAACTAGTACCCAGTATTAGATCCCATTCAGTTATTGTCTGAAATAACTAGCAATATAACTTGAATTGCTTATTGAAATACAAACCGTCATTCAAATAATTTCAAACCACTAGATCCCACCAAACCCTGTTTTAGCCACAGGCTGGAGTAATTACATTAGCATACTATTAACTCTTCAAATTCGTTTCATTCATTTGATATTTCTTGTATTTATTTTTTAAACCATTAATACGCATTTATTATCATTACTTATGCAAAGTTGAATAAAAAAAAAAATTTCTTTCTAAGGGTACTTTCTTGTGTCTATTCAATGCTTTACTCATTTAACACAATAATGAAAAAAACATCTTTTGATGTGTGATTAATTTGCGATTAGTTAGATAAAGTAATCGGCACATCATGTAATTAATTAAATAAAACTTTTGACAAGCCTAATATATACAGTATATATGTTTAATCGTAAATGTTTTTTTTTATAAACATCTTTTAAACATCATTTTTACAAACAAAATATTTATGAAAATGTAGTTTAATGTGATTCAAAAGGAAATTCTGAAGATGTTTGGTTCCTCTCAGGAGTTTATTTACATTGGATTTACTGTACATATCTAAACTTTGAAGGAGGAAATTCAGTTCCTGGTCTATAAACTGTTGTGCTAAAAATACCAATGCAATTAATTATTAAAATAGTTTCAGGTTTCAAGTTGGCACACCAGACAGACCAGACACCACCCTGTTTGCAATTACTTTTGCAATAAACATTTTGCTGCCAACCCCCTCTGGGCATGTGATGAGTAAACTAGTCCCCAGTATTAGATCCCATTCAGTTATTGTCTGAAATAACTAGCAATATAACTTGAATTGCTTATTGAAATACAAACCGTCATTCAAATAAATTCAAACCACTAGATCCCACCAAACCCTGTTTTAGCCACAGGCTGGAGTAATTACATTAGCATACTATTAACTCTTCATTAGGATAGCAACATTTCTGCTTTTCCATCAGCAGTGGAGAAGAGGAACAGTGTGGTTGTAAACTCCAGTGCAGACTTGTCATCAGTAAATTGCAACAACACACTCAGCTGGACTCAACTCGACAGCCTGCCCACTGGAGACGGAGACCACGATGGGCTTCAGCTGCCCAAGCAGAGTCGGCCTAATTCACTGTAAGTACTTTCTTTAAAGCTAAAGTGAGTTCAAATACTGTCTCCTGTTCTTTTTGTTGCCTGTTTATTTGAGCGTCTCGGCCAGCCCAACACAACATTAGCCGAACCAATGCCATGAATTCGTTCAACCAACAGAAGGTAGGGGGAGTGTTCGGGAAGCTTAACTCTTTCCCCGCCAAACACGGAATTTTCCGGGTTTCCGTGTTTTCACTGTTATATGCTCGGGGGTGCTATTACACATCTCCTGAATGAGTCCACAATCTCCCTATCAAAAACACAGACTAGGAAGACGCAGAAACGAGCGATCTCATATGTAAGCAGATGCATATGAAAAATAATGAAATCATATGCATATGAAATCAACAATAAACAGCATATAAATGAAAACTGCCTAATGTTACCGAGTGAAATGGCGATCCCGGAAGTGGTAAAGGACTGTGAAGCTTTGGGGGTGTTGATGGAAGCGATCTACTGCATCTAGTATGCTTTGATCATCGAACTGAATATGATCCAGATGTAGTCTTTGATAAAAATGCGATTTTCTCAGCTTTTTTATCAAAATGTTGCTTTTTTTCATGAAACCTACCTACATTCAAGTGTTGATAAAACAAGAATGTTTGAAGCTAGAATAAAACTGATTTTTTTTTTTGTTTAAAAGTAGAGGCTCTTTTTTTTAATGTATTGCATGTTCAAATATTCATACAACAAAATATTTTTTTGTGAAAATGATCAAAAATGTTGGCGGTGGCTGACAACTTTTTCAAAAACGCTGGCGGGGAAAGAGTTAAAAGCCATAATTTTCAGTTATCAAACCAAGCAGCTTTCTGTTTCGTGTGACCAACTTAAACATGACTAAAACCTGAACTTTTTCCGCCCTCACTTGAAACTCCAGATCACACAGATTCCTATTGAAATGACTGTAACAATGGTACATGTGACATGGTACATACATTTAGTCAGGCTTTCTTGCACCAAAAAGTAGTCATAATCTAGTTTTGCTTGACCATTGTTTTCTCCGACCTGTAATGCACATTAAAGACATAAATATATAAATGACCTCTGGCCAAATGTTGATGTATAACAAGCACAGTTCAATATGTGCATGCACTCATTGCTTTGTTGTTGGTTCAATGTTAGAGCATGTCTACATACAGTAATAGATACAACTTAATTGATCATCTTTTATTTCCAAAGAGAGCAAGAAAAATCCTGTTTTCCTTGATACATCACCTTCAAATACAAACACACACTCTCTCCCAAGGCCTGCAATAATGCTTTTCCCCACTGCTGGTTTTCTAACTGGACACACTGTTTGCTGTACACATGTCACTGTCTCTGGTGGGCCATGGGTCTGTAATGGATTTTTAAACCACTATCTTGGGCCCATTTTGAGGGCTCTTAGCTGTGCACAGAATAGGGGTAGTTTTTTTTCTACTGTTTCACTATAGCATAAGCACAGACATAGCAAATGTTTGCTCCACTCTGAATGACAAGGACAAATATACAAAATGGCCACCCAGTCTCCATGTTCACAAGAACTTGAGCTCAGTGAAACACACTCATTGCTTTGCTGTTTTTGGAAACCTATTAGAAATCTGAATGCAGGCAGTTTTCTCAGAAAATTGTACTTCTGAGGTCAGTTTAAAGTTTTCAAAAAAGTTTGTATTTTATTAGTGGTGTTTGATAAGGCAAGCATTTCTATTAATATTGCTCATAATTTAGATTTGAAGAAAGCTCTAATTCTAAATATTACATTTTAGCACGTACTGCTACTTATCCTGCACTGTATGTGCTACTGACATCTTAAATTCATGTGGCTTATTGGGGTGATGTTTGCCATTACTATTCTATGCAATGAGACTTGTGAAAAGAAGCAAATGAAGGAGAGTTTTGAGCCATTTCTTCAGACCAGAATATGATATAACCAGAAGCTAATATTTAGAGTCTAAGAACAATGTGATCAACATACATGCTACCTGTATAAGGTCCTCTTATCAAAGTACTGAAATGGGTGTTCCTCAGGGGTCATTATTGGGACCACTTCTTTTTACATTATACTGTATATTAATGTTTTACCTGAATTTAAAATGTATGCAGATAATACAGTTATTTATGTATCAGCAAAGACCTCAAATACAATTTTGTGTACACATTTTGTATGATTAGACCTTACATATCAAGTAAAACAGCCAAGTTATACATGTATGCACTGGATTTTTTTTCTTATCTCTCATAATGTGTCACTATTTGGAGTCAAGCTCCTCATTCTGTTATTATGTCAATAATATCTCTATATAAACAGGTAATATATAAACAAAGTCAATGATGTGGCATTGTTGGAAAATAACAAGAACAAAAGCTGTTTACTGTTAACTGTTTTATACATTTCTCATGTTTTGAAAATCATTTAAAAAATGTAAGTGGTTTTACCCTTAAGGTTATTTGTCAATTAATAAGGAAACAAGAGAAAAGGGCCAAGACCAAGACGCAGAACAGCCTTGGGGCAGTCATAATTTTCACTGAAGGGAGTGCACTCATGGAATGCTTCACCAATACAGTTTAAAAGACAAACAAAATTAATACAATTCTGTAAAGCTATTAAAATATCTTAAACAGAATCAATATTTTTTCAATCATTATTTAGGGTTTACATAACTAGTTAATTAGTTATTGTATTGTATTTTTATTCCCACATATATTGTATTACCATGTTTTGATTTGATGCTAGATTTGTATTCATTTATTTACTTTCCTGTTTTTAAAATGTGTTTTGAATTTTAGATTGATTATTGGTTGTTGTATTTCTTAGGACAAGTGCTTTAAATTATCTATTAACAAGAAGCATATAGAACATCAGCTGTAATGTGTAATTAATAATACATTAAATAAATAAAGTAGAGACATCATTGAGCAACCATGTACAGTGGCCTTAGCAGCCACTCAGAACACCCTAGTAATCGCATAACTATGCCTTTGCAAGAACACAATAACAGCACCTTTGCTACTAAATTATTAGTATCTGAAATTAATAATGACATCTTTATTACTATTTGGTCATTTTGTAGATCTTTATTGTCTTGTACATAGTTTTTAGTTGTAGCTTTCGTCTCAGGGTCAAAAGGGCAGGTTTTATAAGGGACTGAACAACGTTTTGATACAATCTGCGTTTAATTTCATTACCTTTCATTGGCTACAGTCTTTGCATGCTTTGAGGTTTTATTATGTGAACGGAAATGATCAAACCCAGCACAATTTCCTGCCAACATATCTACTGTCGAGAGCCATGACTACTGAGGTCTTGATTTTAACCGGTGTTCCCCATGATTCTGTCCTGGGCCCTCTCCCAACTTCACCCTACCAGCAGGGGTTCACGCTCTCATGTTTCACGTGGAAAAGAATTGTGTTGTGTAAAAGTTTATTCCTGTGAAATACACTCACAATGATACCAAGATTATTGTGAAAAAAAGCAAATCTCTTCTGGCCTCCAAACATTTAAAAATACTGTCATAGAAATATTTCCTTCTCTGTAC